TTACAGTTTGTTTACAAATTGAATTAGCACTCGTGTAAACCCAAAATATATCAAATAGACCCAAGAAATTTAACTGAAAAGCATTCGAGTTTATACGTTTGTGCATGTTCACACGAAGCTATCAAGCGCTCCGCCGTTTTCACCTCGCGCCGTTTAGAAACCGTGCTCAAATTGTTACGGCAAAAGTGACGTGAAAGTTTTCAAACGATTTCGCTTCAGCGTAGAGTGAATTAGCGATGGCTTATTGTGACTTTTCTACGCTGTTCTCAAATAGCTCTGGCATTGCGGAACACTTGGCGGCTTCTTGTGACTTGCGAACACAAACACGTGGCAGGTTTTGTCGGATAATTTGCAGAAATTCACTTTGAAATTCGTTCAAGTAAAATTCGGACTGAAATTCGATGTAACTTGCAACTGATTGACAAGCGTTGCTGTGTTTACTTACATGTTAATACATTTTTTAGTATTACTGCATTCCTTAACCTCGCCCTTAATATGAAAGCCATTTCTATTTTCTGGACACGCACCTCGCAAGGAAGCTTTAATATTGACTATATACTAAAACAAATTGTTTTGAGTTCAGTTCACATAGCAGTCTCTTAATTCGAGCAACAGTTTAATAACTATTATTTTTAACACTTGAATAATTCAAACTTATATATGGCGAACAAAAACTGCAAACTATATATAAATAAAGCGTGTCAATTTTCGACTCATTCTCAACATGCAGGATACGCTGTTACAGCGAGTTAGTTTTTGATGGCCATGCATGCAAAAGTGGGTCGCTTATTTTGCTTACAAGTTACGTGGACGTATAATTATTGCTGTTACATAAACGTTCCGGTGTTCAAGAGCTGCATATATATAGCCGATAAAAATTGCGTGCTCATTATAATCGCCGATCACATGGCTTTATCCGTACAGTCTCAAACCTTCAGACAAACATATCCACATTCCTCTCCTCCCCTTCGGACATCCTAAGACATTTTTCCTCTCCCCCCCCCTTCGGACATCCTAAGACATTTTTCCTCCCTCCCCCTTCGGACAGCAAAAATTTCCTTGGGGGGGTATGGATCTTTTCTGGAATGACCCAATTTCAAAAGTTGATGCGGATTTTTTTCATTATTCATTATTTTTCACGATTTGAATTTGTCAAATTTTGAGCTAAAAATCTGAATTTCGACCGAAAGAAATCAAAGAAAATTTTGACGATTCTTGAGCTTTTTGCTAGCTTCCGAGCTATCAGTTATGTCTTTGACTCCGTTTCGCTGTGGCTTCGCTATGCAGGCTATGGCTTCACTAACTGTATAAACAAAGTCAGTATTTGCCAATAATTTCAGCAGAAAGCCATTTTTTAAACACTTCCTATACAAATTCGACAAATAATGAAAAAATCGCGAAATAATGAAAAATTTCACATAGGTGCCTAAAATAGACATGCGCGGGTGACGGTAATCTGATATCTCACTTCCATTGGCCTTAGTGGGTGCAATCTCCCCTTGACAAGTAGAATAGTCTGGTGTTAGACAGAGTAAAATAATAAAGCAGAGCATATCAGGGCTTGTTGCCACTTCACCATGGGCAGATTTACCTAATAATAAAGTGTTCAACCCACCAAAATTTTGCATTACCCCTCCTATTTTGTGTGAAAGTCTTTTAACTCGTTAGCCTTGCCCAAGTTTGCTCAGTGGTTCCACTTGCACTCCACTAGAAATTTTTCCACCCCTCCTTTAAAAAGATGAAAATCTGCCCTTGCACTTTACTCATTTGGTTAAATAATCTGATTATTGTAAAAAATGTGAGAATTGTATATGTATAGTTTACTGTACACAGGGATGGATTCAGCATGATCTGGTAGGGGAAGGGGGTGCTCTGCCAGCTCTGGTGCGTGGTGTCCAGAGTTGTGTCGGTCGTGTGTGCCACCGCCCATCAACATACTGTACTGTATTTGAATTGTAATTGTTGTTCACAGTTTGCTTATCATCATGTTATTGCTCAAATTACTGTATTTCATTTTGTCTCTATTATTTTTTGCTTTATCATGGAAAATAGCACCCCCCTCAGGGTTTTTTTCAGGGATTTTTTAGGGCTGTTAAACGGCCCCAAAAACTCAATCTTGAATTGAGTTTTGAAACTCAATCTTCTCACCAAAGTTTCAGTGCAGTAAAAATGAAGTTGTTTGAGTTAAATTTGTGACGTGTGGATTGAAATTAGTTTTCAGTTGGAAACCCGGCAATTAAGAAAAAATCACTGGAATTCATCTCACAACACAAGAAAAACTATGCATTCGCCATCCTTAACCAGTTTATAGTGTCCCTTAGTGCCCCTGCTTTAACACATTCCGTCTCAGCTATATTTATTGAGTACAGATGTCGGCACATTGGTACAGCCACCCCAGCTGTTCAGCTAAACTCAATCTTCTCTCTGCAAAAACGAACCCAAGAGAAAATCCTGAAAAACCCCTGCCCCTCTGGCCAGGGCTAGGGGGAGGGGGGAGGTACACACCCCTCCCAGTAAATCCATCCCTGACTATACATCCTGATTGGCTGTGTCATATATTGTCCTACAAATGTTGTTCCCTATGGTGTAATTCAACTCGAGTTTGCATCAAAACCTTATCTAACAGATGCTTTTCTGTTTAATTAGACATTCATATTTATTCTTATAGGTTGAACGTGAAAAGACCAGAAAGAAACGGAAGAAGAAAAAAGAAAAGGACAAAGATTTTGATCAAGATTTTCAGTTCTCTGGTTCAGATGACGAGGGACATGTGAATGGCTGGAATCTTGAGGAAACTGTTGCACACTTGAGAAAGGAGGCTGTGGTATGTTTCTACATTCTACTATATTTCCAGTGAATTTAGTTATTCCAATTTTAGACAATTTTTTATCAAACTAAATTAATGACTTATTTTTTGCCTCAATAGCTGCGACAGTCATCAACCTGACACCCCATTTTCTCACTGTGATCTTAAATAATCAGACACTAAAATTGTTTATTCTCCTTTACTGTTTTTTGAAGCTCTGCGTATAAAGTTTAATAGTCTGTGGTCTAAAGGCATCGAAATAACTAATTGTTTTTCTGTAATTTATTTGTTTGTAAATATACTGTAGAGTATTTGTTTGTAAATATACCTCATAAAGTGTTTCAATATGAAAAAA